TATATCCTTTCCCGCAGCTTTCTTTTTTCAGGTATTCCTACAGTTTAATTCACTTTCTAGCTGGCCTGCAACCAAGCAAATCTACGGCTACAAACAGATGATTTTAAATGATTAAATTACAACGGCGTGACTATTTACAGCTAATGTCACCTGAGTCACGTTAACTGTGTCAAACTCACAACCTTTACAGCTGTTGATGTAAAACAGGGTAGTTTAAAGCACCTTCCAGTTTCAAATTCATGTTTAACAGAGGAAAATTCAAGAGCACACACATAAAACAAATACAACAAATAATTAAAAGCTACTGTATCTCTCTGTCCTTGCTTGCCACCCCTCTGAAACACAGATCTTTATTAACATAGGAGCTTGCTGTCCACTAACTGCGGACCAAAAATACCCTGTCTATCACGCATATCTTTGATTTATTATGAGTTATACCTCTGAACTGGAATCTAAAGAAAATATGGGAAGAAGACCTTTTCCCTCTCCCCTCTGCTTTGTAGCACACACTTACAACCTTCTGCATGAGGCCAATTTCCCAGCAATTTCCAATCATTTGTATTGGTCATTGATGGCAGACAGAAAGTATTTTTTGTAAAACAGAAAACTTGACTGGAAAAGAGAAATTAAGAGTTGCACTTGAAGCTAATGTTAAAATTTAAAAAGCTCCTTAGCTTTCCGAGGGATTCGTCTCCTTAAAGAAATGTTTACATATTCTTCTCATGCAGACTGAGTTCAGTGCAAACATAGACTCCCCAATAGATTCACAGATGCAAAGAAATTCATCTGCTTTGCTGCTACTTTACGTACAAGAGTACCACCTAACTTGGTGCAGATATGTTAGAAATGTGCATCACATGTTCTCCTAAGCACTCAGGCACGTTTTTTGAATGAGCTTATTTTTCATCCACATATCTCTGGCATATGCCTTGATCACTTCTGCAATGTCTAAGCACGGAGCACAGCACCATGTAGTGATATTCTATGGGGACTTCGAATAAGTTAACTGCAGGGCAGATCAGCAGGACTAATTAAGTAATTAGCATCACACTCGCACTGGTTCTGAGAACCATGCTACTACAGCCTCACAGTGCTCCTCTGGACAGAAGAGACATACCTTTACAAATATAGATTGCTATAAACACATAAAACTCGAAAGACTGTAATTATATATTGTTTGCTTTAACAGAAAATTTCCTTTTTCTGAAGAGTAAGATCCACAGCTCCACTACAACGAGGCATATCAGCCTGACTGCTTCTAGAGAGCAAGCCAGATGCAGCAACTCCTCATATCACACACTGTGATATGCAGAGACCACAGGCACTTTACCCCTTTCCAGTGCAAAGAAGGTAATGTCAGCCCACCTACATGATTTACAATGAATGAGAACATTTCTCAGTGCAGATTCCATCCAAATTAACCAATTTCCATCATGCAAATCTTGCTACTTTCCCTGAGAAGTATATATAGAGAAGAGAATTTTTACTCAATCCACATTAGGAGAAGCCAGGGTTTGTGGTTTATATGAGGACTTCCGGGACAACAGAGGAAAGGTTTTTTTGCCTCCTTACTCTTTCACTGCTGCCAAACTTGCAGGTGTACTTCAGAGACTGGCTTTATGTGCCATCTAATCTGTAGTCCTCTCTTTGTTGCTTAGCGCAGGGATCAGCATTGTAAACTGAATTTCTGACAAAAATAGCTCAGGCTTACCACAAAATTCCTTTAATAACATCAAGAAAGAGCTGGGAACTGACTGCTCTGAGCATTTGATAAGATGGAGCAAAGCCCTATCAAACTGCACAAAATAAGATTTTTGTTCCAGTATCTTTAAAGCCACAGGAATGTCTGTTTAACAAATGACAGACCAATTTCCTTTTCTTTTTTCTTTTCTGGTGAGATGGGTACCTAGTGCAACTTTTCAGGCACACAAAAGGGCTGAGCTACCACCCACCTGTGCCTGGCTGCCTATTAACAGCTTGTTTCCTGATAGAAATACTTTCTCCGATTAGACAAAAAACTCCCTTTGTTAGCAACAGTGTCCTTCACCAGCAAGGTGAAATCTGCACTTGGGTTTGGACCAGTATACACTGGAACACCTTCTGGCCTTAGCAGATGAAAACTAAAGAGGAAAGCACTGGGGAACACATAATCAACATTAAATCAGAGGCTCCTTTGCCGTCCCTTGCTTCAGTCCCCCTTGTCTGATGTCCCTCTTGTTGCTATATGGATTGATGCACGGAGATGGAGACTTCCTAGTGACCAAGCATGGCAACCCACATCAAGAACTGGGAACAGTGTCCTGGACACTAGGGTACTGAAAATCACAGTAGTCTAATGGAGCAGGGTCATGGACAGCTTGTGACGACAACTCAGTATTTTCCAAGACCCTACTGTTCTTCTATTACTTCTTCCCAGGGAGCAGGGATGTCCCAGACCTTCTGGCTGTACAGCTCTACAAGTATAAAAACTACAGCTTGTCTAGATCAGCTACAGATCTAGACCAACACAGCTGTATCCACTATACACAGTTCACACAGGCTGGCACCTTCCCTGAAATTCTCAGACAAAAGCACACAGTACTAGTACAGAGTACACACACAACCCCTGAAGGTCTGCGACAAAGGCAGACTGACAAGGAGAGGAAGATGAGCATTATGTCACCTTTCAGCACTCACTAGCATTAGTACTATCTTCTGGTATCTCCATCTGCAACCTGAAGGGAGGCATCGGGGTGACACAGTTTCACAGTTAGGAACACAGATGCTACCAGAAGCTATGGGGGCTTAGACACTTTCTGCCATCTCTGACACTGCCTTTCCCACATCATTCTCTCCACACACAGGAGGGAGATGATGTACCTGGCTGTTCCCAAACCAAACTGAGCCCAGCCACCCTATCTCCTTCTTACTCAGGTGGAAGAGAGCTGAGCCAGTCACATCTGAACAAGGGCCTGAGAAAGAAATCACACCACTCTCATAAAACCAGCTACACTCCCAAACAAACCACAAGGTGCTATGGGGGCAGAATCTTACTTTGACTGCTGGGTTTCTTGAGGTCAGCTCTGCTCCTGAATTTCCTAAGACATCAGTTACTACCAGAAAGGAAGAAAGGAGCCCTTCCCACAAAGCAGCTGCAGCCCTAGGACTCAGCTGAACATACTCAGCCAAAATGCATTGAGACAAGTAAACTCAAGCTCTGAATTTTCTTCAGAGAATCAATCCCCTCTGCAGCTAGGAGATCTGGATGGTATCTGTTTATTTCCATTCAGACAGATAAAGACAGAAGAGAAGTCTGGGTGAAGGAAGAGATCTCTGCTGAGGAAAAGAATGACAACTCTGCTTCCATGCTTAGACTGCAAAGCTGCTCAAACGGTCACAGTGAGAGATCTGTGGACCTAGGTGCTGTGAAGAATGGAATTTCAGATCATAAAATCTGTAAAAATGCGCATTTGAACTAAACTGGTATTTACTCAGCACCAAAATAGCCTGAGGGTTACACCTGCATACTCAAATTAATTCTGAAGTGCCTCTTTTGCTATGCAGGGTATTTTATGTTACAGTTGTACCATACTTATATAACCTAATTGAAATGTATTTCCTTCCCCTTGTTTGGAGTAACAGCTTTCTGGAGATGCCTCACAAAGTCCAATTTGGAAAGAAATTAAAGGAGGCAAGAGCCTTCCCCGCACAGTGCTTCCTGACTACCATACAGAATACCTGCTGAGCAGAGATCAAGTAGGTCTCCTTGCTGATTTCTGAGCACGGGTTAAAACATATTCAGCTGCTAATAATTGGAGGCTTATATAAAGCCTTTTAATGTCTTCATCATGAGAGCACTATATGATTTACTGTGAAGTGCTTTTAGATGAATCTTACTGGAAGTGGAATATATATAAACTCAGTGCAACACACAGTGGAACGAGAATCAAAGGGGTTAAGCACAAGCAGTCACTTAATCCCTGTCCCAAGGGATGTTAAACTATTCTTTTATTTTTCCTGGCAAATGGGTCTTCTGAAAGACATCTAGTGATTGTGATCCCGATCTGCCCCCATACACACAAGCAGTCTATCCCAGCGCTTTGCTACCCTGATTATTCTCTTCTGTGCTGCAATTCAAGCTCTTTACTTCTTGTCCTAAACACCATGGAGATAGAGAACAGACTATTCTCTTCCTCACTGAGAAGTCCCTTATGATAAGTTCCTTTCAAAGTACTCTTCTTTATGTGAAACACACACAGTTATTTCAATCACTCCTCCATGGCAGGTTTTCTGAGCCTCTAATCATTCTCATTCCTCTGCAGTCTCACCAGCTGACCCAAATTGTTCATGAAAAACTGGGCACAGGAGTCAACCTATGGCCACATCAAGACTGAACAGGGCAGAAGGGTGACTTCTTATGTCCTACAGAACAACAATGCTACGTAATCTGACCCTGAGCTATGTTTGAGCAGATATTCTGAATCTGATTAGTACCTTTTATTCCAACACACCTGGAACAGATGTTCCATGAAAACAGGAGTAATGTGCATATATATTCTCAAAGACAATAGTCTCATGTAAGCAAATTGTGCAGCACAAATTATTCTGTGAAAACCACATACTCTGTCCAGGAAGCAGGAGTACTGAGTCATCATCTCTTGGTCAGGAGATGCACACACACATGTAAAAAGAATCACAGTAACTAACCACCTGTTATCCTGAAACCCTCCTGAAACACCTTTTACATAGAGCCTTCATCAGGCCGTTCTGCTTGTCTCACAGGCTAGAGTCTCAGTTTAGTTTTCCTTGTCTGACAGCCAGAAATTACTTAATTACAAAGAGCCCAATACCAGCTTGGAATAGTTATACTAGAAAAATCCATTTCCATCCTGTGACAATGATTTTTAAATGAGTTTGAGGACAAGTGGCTGCACTTCTCCATCTCAAGGTTTTCCTTTTTACAGGGTAAGAAATTTCTTCAAGATAAATCCATAAAATAAAATTCTGTCCTTCATACTTACCCTTCTCTTTGATACTCCTCATCCAGATTTGACAAAAGCTGTGACCCAGCCACAGACAGATCAAGTGCAGCTAAGGGTAGATCTCGATAAGCAAAATTAACAAGCTGCACAGGAGCAATGCTTTTGGTCTCTTCTTCCACTTGTTGTGAAATTATCTCAACTTCTGAAACACCACCTTCTATTGTAGGCCTGAAAATAAAATAAGCAAATAAAAAAAAAACTTAATCTCTCCACACACACACACACACACATATGTATATAAACTATATAAACAAATAAAAAAAACCAAACAAGTAAAAGTAAGGGAGAGAAAAGAACTTCAAAGAATTCTAAAAAGAAGACTTAAAAGGCTGTTGCAAAGTCACTGAGGGAGGCGATGTCCAGTCCAAATCCGTCCAAACTTGTCTTTAGTAGATTCCACTGAAGTCAACAGAAACCTCACAGACAAAGGAAAATAGCATTTGACTCTGTGGAAGCTACTTCAAAAGCACTAAATATAAATGGCTGTATTATAAACAAACAAATGTGGAAACAAACTATGAACCCAGCAGCAAAATATTTGTGCAAAACAGACAAGAACATCGACAGAAAAAAGGCATGTAACTGCCAACTAAAATCTCACTGCTTTGTAGCTTAGATCAGTGAGCAATGAACAGCTAAGCTTCTTATTCATCATATACAAATCAACTCTTAATTAATGGATAGAGTTTGACCCCTCTTCCACTGTGGGTCAATATTCAAACAGTTTTGATGGATGCTGACTTGGTTTCGTTCAACCAGAAAGGATCATTCTGTTCCCAGTTATTTCAAAGTAATTCCAAAAGAAGAACAAGGGTTCAGAAGAACTACGAACTTGTTGGGAAAGATTATCTTAACTACATGTATGTTTGTACAGCTTACTTCTAAATCTGGACAGGTCCGCTAATGTTTAATAAGAATCCACGCACGTAAAAATAGAGCCTGACTATGCACGTGTCCCCCTCATTTATAACAAGATCCCAGTTACCTAGGAACTCAAAGTACGGTCAGCTAGCGTATGATCTAGTGTATACCGAAGATAACTTCATTAACAGGAGAGAGCTGGCACGTCAGGTCCCAGCAGGGATTGATCCTTCACAGTCCCCAGTGAACACCGCTTGCTCCATTTGATTCAGAACACGGTGCAAGAACAAACCTCTCCAGCTTTCATCCAGGGGCGCTTGTTAACTTCTGAAGAAATCCCAGGCTACTTTTCAGAGGTTTTCCACAGCAGGTGTGAAGATATTCTTTCTCCTTAGGGATATAGTTAAAAAGTGCTTAGCACCCATCTTCCCTGTCTTATTTGACTGCAAAAATTGCATTGGTGATTTTGTTTTAAAGCAGCTTATTAAAATCTTCCGGCTATTCAAGCAACTTGAATAACTTCATTTTTTTCCAGAAAAAAGTGAATAATTTAGAAGAGTTCTTGACTAACTCATCTATCTTGTAAGTCTAAGGATTTGGGTGAAGGAGGTAAAATTCTACCTGTGAAAGAGGCAGAGAAAGACTCTATTTCTCAGAGCCTAACCATTAGACTAACCCTTTTGGACAGAAAACATTATTCTTAAATTAAAAAGAACTAACCGCTGCCAGGATCACACAAGAGAGTCACTTTAAAAATCTGAAAATGCTGTTATAACTCAAGTATCTGGTAGTGAAAGACTGCGACTGTATCACACAATGGCAGAAAGTAGAGGAAAAGCACTACTATTTGGATGACCTAAAGCCCTGTTTTATTCTTTGTTTCATTAGTAATGGACAAGTATTGAGATTCTTGTCATTTCCAACAGAAAACGTATTCGTCTACAAATGATCTGAAATCAGAAGGCCGTAGGGAGGAACTAATTTTAGCCAGATTTTTCCTTCTTTGGTTTTCACCTTTAGTGCAGCAGTATTTGCCACCCTTTGGAACTTTTCCTTTTCAAGTCCAAGCCAAGCTGGTTCACTCCTGCACGGAAGCGTGTACAATGACACAATTTCCAGTGTTACAGAGGAAACAGGAAAACGGGTTAGTGCAGCGTTCCCCCCTCCCAACAGTACTTATCGTCTGTATTCTTAGACTAAGTAACAAACAGACTGACGTGACTGAAAAGAAAAACAAACAGAATAGTGTTGGCACAGTAGCTTTGAGACAGGCTTGGGGACAGGAAAGAAAAAACACAAACAGGTCTGAAAATACTCAGTTATTAGTTCTCAGCCACTAGCTATTTAGTAGCACATCAGCAATGTTCGCTGTATTCACTTTTCTGAGCTAATTCAGTCTTTAGACAACTTACCAAATCCTACCGCTCCCACTCAAAATACCAAGTTTTCCTTCCAGTAATGATGGAACCTCTTGGTGTCATAACAACATTCTCCTACAAGTAGGAATTGTTCCCTTGTATTTAAAGTAAGTTATAACTTTCCTCATACAGTACTTACTGAGGATTGGTCATGTTGGAGGATGCAACCAAATCAGCAGTGGTTCCAGTATTTTACTAACTCCAGCTGCTCTGCACAGAACTTTTAGCCTTCTAAGCTGAGGTTTCTGTAAGAGGCAAAACAAAGTTATCTAAAATTCAGTTGCAAGTATTCCAGAAAATTGCACTGACATTCCTTGTCATTTTATAAAATTTGTGTAATAATTTTATTTCCCTGTGATTCCTTGTCAAGGTGTTTTTATTCCAGGTTAATTCTTCTATATCATGGAAAGTATAAAGTTACAGTGTATTTATTTACACACATGGACACCTGCTTGCATATATACTTCCAAAACAACATAGGCTACAAGATTATTTAGAAACTACAAGATTATTTAGAAAGATAACCAAGATCAGAAGGGGAGATTTTCAAAAAAAGCTAAAGTCTTCAAGAGCACAGATTCTATTGCAAGCCAATTGATTTTTTCTATACAGTTTAAGATGCTGAGGAGATAAGAATTTTAGCTTTAAGATTTCTTTTTAAGCTAAAATGCAAATATTTTCCACTTGAAAATGTGTTCCTGAATCCCTCTGCTACTTTGGAAAGTCTCTTCTAAAAGAGTTAGCTCATGTTGACATACTTTGTAGACAGGACTTTGTCAAGATGATATTTTCACCTACAAAACTCACTAACATATCTGGAAAAGGCACTTGTGGCAAAAAGTCTGTTTGTGTTGTACCCTGGCCCAGTACACAGCAACCAGAACGGAAGAGAACAAGCTTGTAAGGATGAAACATACTGATAGGAAGGTTTTAGTAGATGAAAAAATGTTGCATGGAGAACAACAGATAAGGAATACAAATTTTTAGAAAATGATATCATGAGAGACTTTGTAAAGCTACTGTCAGGATTATATGCTAAATACAATTAAAAACAGCGACCAAAATGCAGAAGCACGTTCTCATTTTGTTTAGACAGAAATAGTAATTGGTAAATTAAATACAATACAAATGTATGAGGTTAAAATATTACCAACAACGACACTGAAAAATTTTCATGATGATAAAAAACACCGCTTATACTAAACTTTACTGCAGTCATTTATGAGCTGAATTGTTAAAATCAGCAATGTATTTACAATAGAAACATCTAAATATAACAGCAGTATGACGTTTAGCAATCACTTGATACCAAATAATGAAACTGAACTTACATAATTTGTAGAGTCATTTCCAAAGCTTTATTTCACGTCCTGTGAACTTTTAATAATGTAAAATGCAGTCAATCCATTCTCAGATTTTCTAGGTAACGTGCCTAGGTATGTAAAAGGAAAGGGTCTACACTGTGATTACCCTCCTCAGGCGGGTAAGCAAACCAAAAGCAATTGAATTATTCTTACAAAGAAAAGAAACATGACTGACTTTAAAGCAGTAAATATATATATTTTAGAAAAACACACACCCTCCTTTTATTTATAAGCATACAGTACTTCTAAAGTCAGAGTAACAACCCAATTCAACCCAATTTTCTTCAGGAAAATCTTCTCTGATACAGCAGAGACTTGTTTCAACATCCATTTTATAGTCCTTGAGTTATTTTATTTATCCCTGAGGCAGCAAAATACTTAAACATTTACTTAAAATTAAGCATGTGTATAAGTCACACACTAAAGGGATTTGGTGAATTTGTGCCTACGGCGGTTTTATGATAGCAATTATTATACCTACCAACACAACAACAACAACAACAAATTGTCACTATGAGTCTTGTTTTGTGATGTTAGCTTTCTAACGCTTCCTTTTGGGTTGAAAGTTTGCAACACTTTTCAAAATAAATTTTAAATGAAAGTTTCACCAAAAAAATTTTTTCTAAGCACTCAGTCTGAGCAAATAGTAAAGGCATGAGGCACCCTGCACCTCCCTCGCAAGACTGAAGGGGACATTGAGAATATGCACATGCGGGCCTGGGGAAGCAAAGGTAAATGGGGATACAGCTGATTTCAGAAACAGGAATAAAACTGATGGAAACTGACCTCAGAGAACAAGCAGACAGATGTGGAGATGGGAATTTCTTAACCTAGGTAAAACTCACCATTTATTTAGGAGAGAGCACAGCGCTAATATTCGTGACCTCTCTCGCAAAGGGGGTTTAACAAACAAAAAATGGACCAAAAATGCACGGCTAGATACTTTAAAATTTTCATTTTCACATTAATCTCAAGAATTTTAGGGAATTCAAATCATAACACTAGGGCCAGCAGCACTGCAATTCCTTGACATAAGACAAACTCTTGAAACGTTTCCCTCTCCAAAATAGAGACTCAGTCTTCTCTCTCTCTCTTTTTTTTTTTTTTTTAAACTAGAAATGTGCTCATATCCATAGAGTTTTGCTGCACAACTCAGCCAGGTCTGACCATCGCCAACCAGCCAGACCTGCTCCCTCTCCCTGGAGCTGGCAGCTCTACAGGGAAGCGTTTGCTCACCTCGAGGGCTGAAGGAGCGACTCGCAGCTGGCAGCAAGCTTTTCCAATAGCTCCGGTGGCCCCAGAGGGAGCAGAGTCCAACTCGCCTTCCCCGCAGGGATCGTTACCATGACATAAGGTGCTCATGAAGGTGAGACGAGTAAGGTGGAGAGAAACGGGAAAGGAGATAGAGGGAGTCAAGTCTCCAAAGGACTCAGCGGAACTTTCCTAGGAGGAGAAAGTGGCAAAAAGTGAGTAATTTTTCGTGCAGATAACTAACATATTAGCTCAATTAATGGATTAAAATACAAGTGATTAACATGTACAATAAGAGGGCAGCACAACTGAAACCTTCAAAGTGGATGTCATAGGTTGTATATATATCCTAAACAGATTACAATAATTCATGCTTCTTTCTAGGCTTTATACAAGCGACAGAAATGTCTCGATATATACTGAAATTTGCAGAAATTTATTCTTTCCGTGAACTCCTCTCCATCTATATGTTATGTATACAACTTCCTAAAAAAAAAAAAACCCTTTCATAGCAGCATAAACCACTTTGAAGTTCCACAGGAAATTTCCGTGCGACTGCGTCACCGTGTGACTGCCTGTTTAAAGGCAACAAGAAGCAGCAGGCAGATTGTGTTTTCCAGCACTCCTAGAGGCTATAGCATAAGCGAAGAGCAACGATGCAGCTCAGAGGGGCAGGGGACGAAGGGCAACCCTTGGGTATTCCAACACCACCCAAGAGCAGAAACTTTCCCGTGGTGCCCCTTCCACACTGAGACCAGGCAGTGCTCTGTAGATACAAATGCCTTAGTCTCATCTGAAGATATTACGTAACAGTTCCAGGTGTTTTTCCTCTCTTGGAACCGAGACCAGAGTGCCCATGGTACATGCCGCGTTACCCTGCAAGTAGGAGCAACGTCCGTTTTGAGAGTTCAGCAATTCTGTTTGTTCTGTGGTATCAGTGTTTTCAAGCTGGGATGCCTATAGAAGGAACATAGCTTCCCAAGTTAATCAGGAATAGTTTTAAAAGGAGATATCACCAAAAAAAGGAAAGAATTGACCCCAAAAGGTTTCTTGTGCAAGGTTTGGAGTGTTGCAAAAAAACCAGAAACATTCACAAGACTAAAAGACTAAGATACTGTCTTGTATGTACTGAAAGGCCAGTGCAATCTGATGGGAGGCATAGCTCTGCATCCAGGTTTCTGTATAAAGTCAGGTTTGTAAACTAACAGTCCAGCTTGAAACGTCTGGGATCACAGTTCAGATCCCAACAGAGCTGACTCAGCTCTTCACCTTTCTGCGGCAGGTGAAGAGCTGCACCCAGTTCAACTGAGGTCCTTCCGAGCAAGACCTTAAAATTGCTCAAAACTGCTGTACTTGCCTTTCCCAGCCCTTCTGGGTTCCTGCGCTCTTTGCACAGGTAGCGTATACAAGGCCAGTGCTCCTCAACCTTTTTTTTAAGGGTGCCCTTAATTATGATTTATTTTGCTCCCTCTCAGCGGGGGCCCTGGCGGGCGGCTGCTTCACACTTCGCTGGTTATGCTCAGAATCGCGCAGCTGGGAAGTGGTGTCATGCGCTGCAGCGCTTGAGCAAAGGTTCATGCTGCTGCCCTTACCCAGCACACCTCCTGCCCGAGTTAATTTGTTAATGTTTATATCAACCTTTTGATGTTAGTAGCCATACCTCAGCAGTTGCTTGCTAAAAGGAGAAAGAGTCCAGCTGAAATAAAGCAATGCATAGACCACAGTTTGGAAAGCATGCGTAAAAGCGTAGGATGTGTGAGATAGTATATGCGGTGGGCATATATATATATGCACACACATACACTGTAAACAAAAAAAAAACAAGAGCAACCTTAAAAATAAAAAAAACTAGACCCCACTTCTGTATTAAAATCATGACCATTGGTTTAAGCATGCCACATTGCAAAACGCACGCCACAACGTGGTGTGCCTGAAAAAAACTGAGGAGGGAGTAGGAAGATAGTTCAATTCAAACTTTCTCTGCCAAAGTCCCTGCTAACTTGTACCCTGTTCAATTGAGTTGAAATCATGTTATATCAAGACTACATGGCTGGAAGTTGTTTATTTGTTGTGTTTGCTCACAGTCCGAGAGGAATCTGCCATGAAGCTGTAAGCTATTGTACAGAACAGAACTAGCTGAGTTTCTGCACTGACAAGTAGTTACAAAACCAAATTTTGATACCTTCCTTGTAACTAAAGATTTTTCCGCACAACCTCTCAGCGGAAGCTTAGAGAAACAAACAGGCCTCACACTTGGAGAAAGCCCAGCAGGAGATGCTTTGAGGAAATACCACCTCCAGCTACAGTTAAAGTTTTAGGTATTCCTGCCCCGCTTCTGGTCACCCCTCTGCCCATGCCATGGCATCCAACAGCCCTGCCACCGCCAGGAACATGCACACAGACCCTTACTGGGAACCGAATCAGGGAACTGACTTGGCATTTCACACACACAACTTCATTTTTATTTATTTATTTTTAAGAGTAGAATTGCTTCCTTGATACAGGCCACAGTATAGCTCCAAAAACAGTTGTGTCAGCAAAGTGAAGGCTGGGGGAAGATGGGGCAGGACACTGTAGGTACAGGCATAAGAATGAACAGCATGGTGGAGATGTACTTAAATCTGCACTGTTCCCTAAGACGCTGTGTCCAACCCTAGCCATTGGCAGTACTGAACTGGAAGAAGCACCCAACATAAAAATGTTTAGCAGGTTGGGGAAGGGGAAAGAAAATTTCGTCTGTGTTTATTTTTGGGGGGGCAGGGGGGTGAAGGGGAGAGGAGGTGGTTGTTTTGTTTTCTGTATCACTTAAACTTTTTATTCTACATCTAATAGACCCTGGGAAACAGTTGTTTCATTTTTACAAGAAGTTATGTTGTCACTTCTGTGTCTATAAATTAAAACTCTTACACAGTCTAAAGCTCAAATGGAAATGATGGCTACTAAGGTTCCTACTAGGCAATCTTAAGGAAGTGATGGAGCTATCCAGGAAGCAAGATTACCCCAGGAGTTTTCAAAGAGAAAAGGGCAGTGCGATTCAGGGGTAGCTACACTGAACTCTTAGGTAAATCGCAGCTTGGCTGAAAACGCTAGTGATTAACACCATTGCTGGCACTTTGGAGGTCAGCATGATCATGGCGCCATCCCTCATCTCTACCAGTGCAAGTTACGTTCCTTACAGAACTGAAGCAAGGCTCTCTGAGATCAAACCCAACAATTCTGACAACTGGTTGATTTTACTTATCTCGTTTCAGCCTCTCAGTTTTAACCAGATCCATACATATCCATATTTAGAAAGGTTTTTTTGGTCATATGTAAAAAGTGCAGTCTTCAGAAATCCAGGAACCCGCACGTCTGAAGTGAAGCCCTGAAAAGCTCCAGCAGCAGAGGTCCCAACACCTCCTTGCGTGGTGTTACCAGACAATAACAACACAGGGCCATTTACAAATTCAAGTGAGAAGGCCCTCCTCTAGTACTTCAGTGAGCAGAGAAGACTCAGTTTTTCTACTCATAACATCATATTGCCACATCACAGGCCAGTAGCTCACTACAGGTCTGACTTCTTGTTCTCTTTGTAAAAAGAGAAATCCTCAGAGTTAAAAGAGTCAGTCCTACAACAGGGTTTAAGCTGGCTGCTCACTGACTGCCATAGATTAACACTTCACTAATGCAAGGATGGCAAAGGAACATACTCTATGATCTATTGCATTTGGGATGTAAAATTGAAAACAGTTTTTCCATTGCAACTCGCACAGGCAGGGCACAAGTAAATGCATCCTAAGCTGATATACTTACAAATTTGAGTAAATTAGTTTTGATTATATAACAGTATTTTTGGTGCCTCCTAAAGTGTTCTACCTGGGTTACATTGCAACCACCAGGGGCAACAAGCAAGTAAAATCTGCAAGGAAATAGAAGTTTTTTAGTGAGCTAGTCTATATGGACTGAAATCTGCAAATAATTCTGCCAGAAGGGAGAAAAGGATCCTCCAAAGCCTTGAAATTATGCCTTCTGATTTTAATATTTCACTTCATGCTGAACAAAACATTTAGCTCAATTTGAACTTTTTAATGGGGGAGTTCATTGTGATAAAAAATTAAGATCTTTTGATTAAACTGACCCTCCTCAACCCCACCGTTAGTTAGGCCAGCCACTTAAGGATGTATTTGTTTATACAGCTCTGCATAGATAGATAAGAAATACTTCCTTTATTAGGTTTTGAAAATCGTAACAGAATTTGATTTGACAGAAGATTACGAACACTGAGATGCCACATAGTAAACATAAGCAATAAATTAACTTCCTTGTCAAATCGAGTACATTCGATAAACATTATTATGTTTCCACTGCAGACTCCCAATTCCATTCATAGAGCTATAATAAGGCATTCCTACAGAGTTTCCCAAAGAGGAGAGAGGTACAAGATATCAGAGCTTTTTTATTTCAAGGAAGAGGAAAGGGACATTGAATTTTGCATCTGTTTATGAAGTGATCTACAGCAAAGTTTTCAAATACATCACAAAGAAAGGGGAAAGAGCCACAAAGCCCTCCATCACAGTAAAGGTATTTAGATTGGAAAAAAGTAGGCATTTAGAAATTAGGAAATGCCAGATTTGAACTTGCTCATGCAGCCATAATTCTACCTCCTTGTGGGATCATCCTGTATGCTGAAATTAAGCAGAAAGCTGTGGAAGAAAGAGCAATATGTAATTGCATAACTTAAGACTGCCTCCTAATTCATAAGTCTAGTTCATATTTCCTGGAGAGAAGTTTAAATGGGCAGAAAAAAAAAAGAAAAATAATCTTACCCACAATTATAATAATCTCTCCACAATGCCTCATGTTCCCTATTTGAATCTTGAACTTTCAGCACTGCAAATCTGGACTATAGGACAAACAATACTAGCTGGAAGCAGAAGAGCCTTCTTCTAGAGAGGAGGACTAGACCAATACAAACTCCCAAGAGAACGTAGTCCAGCCCTCCCTCTTCCAGGG